AGAATGCAGCTCCCCTACCCCACGCCTGCCCCGGGAATTCTCCACAGTCGGTTGCCTGGCCTTTCTCCAGCCCATTGGTTCTCCACAGCAGGCTGAAAGATGACCCCGTGCAAGGTTGTGGGCAGTGCCCCACGTGGGGTCCCTCTGAATAGCCTGGCTTGGCTGGGCTTGGTGGATGTTGAGGGTGGGACCCGGGATCACCAGCTCTGGGAGGCACCTGCAGCGGGTGACCCGGCTCTCACTAGGGGCCCATTTGTGTGGCACCACTGGGACGCAGGAGGCCAGGGCCCTGGCCACTCAGCTGATCTCCCCACAATCCTTGGGGGTCCAAGAGGGCCAGGGGGTGAAGCCAGACTCCATTGTGGAAAATGGACGGCAGAGGGTGTACAACGTTCCGCTGGAATAGACCAGAGGTAGCCCCCCAGGGAGGGGGCGTTGGATGTAGGAACCCTGGGGTCAGCCTCTGCCTAAAGCCAGAGGGACCCACTAACAGCGCGAAGAGGCCATCTGTTATGCAGCAGTGGACGGTGGAGCCCTGGTGTCGCCTCTACATGGTGTCAGGAAGCAAGGGAGAGGTGCCGCAGGCACCCCCCCACCCCACCTGGTGTTTCTCCTAGCAGCCCTGCTGTGTGTGAGGGGCTCTTCTAAAGGGACGTGGGTGCCCATGCAGCTACCCACAGGTGCTGTCCTCGTCCGTCTGGGCTGCTGTAACACGATACCATCAAAGGAGCAGCTGGCACACAGCAGACAGGTGTCTACTTCTCCCAGGTCTGGGTGCTGGCGAGATCAAGGCACCAGCAGGCCGGAAGTCTGGGAACTGGTTCCAACCCATGCATTTGTGGGGACAAACACTGGGGCCATGGCCGATGGGTCAGGCAGGTTTCTGCTGTGCTGCCCCGGAGAGCCACCCATGATGCCTGCAGCACAGTCGCTCCTGGAAGGTGCATTCTGAACCCCTTCAGATCTACCTGCGCACTGCGGGGACGCCACCTGCTTTCGGGTCAGGGACAGCCTCTGGGACTCAGCCCTGAAATGTTCCTCAGAAGGCCAGGAGCCATGAGTGCGGCCATCCACGGGCCACCAAGCAGGCAGGGCCGCCTGTTCAGCTGCCTTAACTCCACGGGCTGGTGGCTGGGACGTGTCCGCTGCTTGGGGCCGTGACCCCCATGGCAAGGGGAGTCCAGTTGTTCGAGCCACCCACCAAGAAGCCAAAACCCCACTGCACAGCTCTGGTCCAGAGGACAGAAAAGCCATTTTCTTCAACCGCAGGAGTGGTGCTCTTATCTTCCCTCGGGTGGCCTGGTGAGCCACGGGCGCTTTAACTGGACGGTGTCTGCAGACGACAAAGTCCCCCAGGAAGGGGGCTCCAGGTTCTGTGTTCAGCCCTGTCGCGGATTTAGTCTGAGCTACGTGTTGTTGCCCACAGCTGCTGGGCAGACCCATGCTGGCCCACTGTGATCGTGCTCCTGGCCCAAAGCATCGTAAGCCCTTACAGAGTGACCAAATGTCCAGTTGCAACGTTGCTCCTTCAAATTTCGTTTCTCTCTTTGATACTTCGTTTGGGGACCCATTTTCCCCAGAACCTCTTCCATTTTCCCAGAAACACTTTATTCATTTATTTGAGAGCTGGAAGGACAGAGAGAAAGACAGAGGGAGACAGTGCCCACCTACGGGTTCACTCCCCCAGGTGCCTGGATCGGCTGAGGCTGCATCAGACCAGAGTCGGGAGCCAGGGACGCAACCCAGGTCTCTCACATGGGTGCAGGCACTCACCCACTCGGGCTGTCACCTGCTGCCTCCCAGGGTGTATATTAGCAAGAAGCTGGAATCGGGAGTGGAACCTGGACTTGAAGCCAAGTGCTCCAGTATGGGATGTGGGTGTTCCACGTGGGGTCTTAATCATGCCAAATATACACCCCTCTTCTATCTGGGGGGCAGGGTTGGCACATGAAAAAAATTAATGAAGAATTAAGTATAAAGCTTAATTGGGGCTGGTGCTGTGGTGTAGCGGGTAAAGCCGCCACCTGTGGTGCTGGCATCCCATATGGGTGCTGGTTCAAGTCCCAGCTGTTCCACTTCTGATCCAGCTCTCTGCTATGGCCTGGGAAAGCAGTGGAGGATGGTCCAAGTGCTTGGGCTCCTGCACCCTTGTGAGAGACCTGGAAAAGGTTCCTGGCTCCTGGCTTCAGATCGGTATAGCTCCAGCAGTTGCGGCCATTTGGGGAGTGAACCAGTGGATGGAAGACCTCTTTCTCTCTACCCCCCGCTTCTCTCTCTCTCTCTCCCTGCTTCTTCCTCTCTGTAACTCTGCCTTTCAAATCAATAAATAAATCTTTTTTAAAAGGTGAATTATTCATTTTCCCAAGGCCTTTCATGCAGCTACACAGGCTCTTGAGTGAACACTTAGGACTCTGTGACCTCTTTAATTCAACAAACATGTTGAGAAGGACAGAAACACAGGTGCCTGGTGAATGCCAGAGAGTAAGGGGGTAAAATTACTCAAGCCCCCTAAGAAGAAAAAAAACACTTTGTGTTTTGGTTTGCCTATAGTCCCCCTATAGCAGGGAGGCGGCTGGTGTCCCAAGGTGCTTTGAACACAGCCCAAACCAGGCTGCCAACCTGCCGAGGCCCAGCAGCAGCCACAACAACACCGTGTACTCTCCCATCTGCTGAGGTCTGACCCGCGGACAGGCCTCAAGCTCACACCCACCTGCAGATAAAGCAGAGAGTGTCTAGGACCAGCACTGATGGAAAGCCCAAGAGACGAGGCGCATCATACACACAATCTTCATCGCCCTTCCAATAAAGCAGCGTCTCCCTCCCCCCGCTCTGCTCACGCCTCAGCCAGCCACAGAGGGCCGTGACTTCCCAGTGGTGTCCTGCCTGAGCCAACACACGGGGCACACAGAAGCTGATCTAGACTCGTGGCCCCACGGAGATGACGCCAAGCCCGGCCCTGCATGGAGTGACATGAGCGTTCCTGCACCAGTCGTCCCGTGCACCTGCCTCCCCGCCGACCTGGCACAAGACCCAGGCCTGAGTCCTCCGTAGGTGCAGGTTGTGCCCCATGGGGAGGACACCTTGCTCACAGCTCCACTTCAGCTCCCTCGCCCCTGTGTGTGCCTCCTCTCCCCATGGGGCCTCAGGCACTCACTCTCCCAGCAGGCTCACCCAGACCCATCAACAGAAGCACCTGAGATAGGACACAGCTCCCATAAACAGGAACTTTTATTAAACTACTTGTTACGTAAAAGAGCATATAAATGGACCTTTAAATACATTCAGTTCATCTTAAACACATTTATATAGAAACGTATGTACATTTCTCCATTGTAGACTTAAATTATCTTTCCAAGCTTACTACCGATAAAAGGTAATAGAATGATCACCTGCTCACACAGATGCGCACAGAGGCTGCCCGCAGGGCGCGCGACACCCTGCTTCCCAGATCTGACAGCAGCAACTCGTCTTGGGTGGGGGGGTTTTAGGGGTGCTAGGGATGGGTTTCATGAAGCTGGGCCCGGGGCAGAGCAGGTCTCACATCCTTCGAGATGGTCATCGAGGCCCTGCCCCTACGTCCTTGGGCTGGAAAGCAGAGGCTTGGGAAGGTAACCAGTCCTCCCAGCGGCCGGAAGAGAGTAGGCATTGGGACCTCAGTTCCCAGGGGCCTTCCAAGGCATCCCGACCCCATCACTATCCGCAAGCCCACAAACTCACAACAGTTTCCAGCCACTTCCCATCTACCCAAGGACCTTGACTGGCAAGCGCTTGCCCACCTGGCTAAGTATGTGGCTCCTCAGGCTTCTGCAGATGGCGAAAGCAGCTCTGGATTCCCACAAGCATCTTCGTGAGCCCTGGAAATACTCCCTCGGGACCCACTTTTGCAAAAGGTCTGAGGTCAAGTGCTCACCTTACACCTGTCTCTCCACCCCAGCTGACTGGCGGAAGCTCAGAGCTTCCAATCGATCCCGATAAAAAGGAACCATTCTTGGACTCCCCACACCTGCCTCCCAGGGGCCTACCCCCATCTGCCTTCCAGGGCCAGATCTAAAACAAGTGATCCCAGGTGGGAAGGTGTGAGACAACTTTTAAAAACCCAAAGCTTAAATTAGTCCCCCCACTTCTCAGTCTCAGAGAGGAGCAGTGGAAAGGGCGTTGGGTAGAAATAGCTTAATGCTTTCTTCCAGACGTTTCCTTAAGATATAAAGTCTTCTGAAAGCGATTTCATTCTGGGAGGCTGCTTTTAACAACTTGACTGGTTTTTCCCAAGACTTAAAAACTGCTGCACCAAAGAAGATAAGTTAACATTTCAAAGTACCCTAGAAAGAGACAGAGACAGAGACACAGAGAAAAGGAGAGAGACAGAGAGAGAGAGAGAGAGGCGTGCAAGAGAATAAGGCAGAGCAAGAGCCAGTCAGGGCTTCCTGCCTCACCAAAAAAGGACGGACTGGGATGGACTGCGTGCAGGCAAAGGGGGCAGAAAGGCTGGGAGGGAGCAGGGTTGGTTCCTCCCTGTGATCAGAGAGAACACCTGTCATAGCTGCCATCACTCTGTTTTCTGACAGATACACACATAGGGAGACACAGAATAGGACAGGAACGTGGTGCTCAGCCAAACAGCCCTGGACCCCTTTCCACGAAAACATGGCACTTCCAAATGTTGGAAAACCCAGCATCCTACCCCAGGGCGCCGGCACCTGCAGGGGAACTGGACACCCCCCACCTCCACGCCTGCACTGAAGACACAGGAGCATCTGATCAGCGCCCCCCTGAGTCTGCTACTCCCACCTGTTCACACGCAAGCCCTCCCTGAGTCACTCATAGAGGACGGCGCGGGCCGGACTTTCCCAGGACACCCAGGGGCTCCAGGAAGGTCTGGGGGTCCAGCGACGGACGGTGTGCGGGCAGGTGGGACCCTGAGGCCAGAGGACACAGGCAGGTACAAGCGTCTCCATTATTCAGGCGTTGGGTTCCCTGGGAGGCATTTCACTTTGCAAAAGTCAACTAAAACCCTTTATTTGCATAATATTAAAAAATAAGTCTTTGATATATAAAAACTGGCCAGTAAAAGAATTACGTGTAAGAATGTCATCTTACGCAGCCGTCCGTCTTCCATGGGACCTTTGTCTGGGGGGGCAGGGCTACGCACTGGCCTCCCCGCAGTCACCCGGGCGCCACCATGGCGCCATCCCGCAGGTGCCGCCTGCACAGAATAAACGCACATTGTGTCGGCCTCTTCCGGTCCTCACCCCTCCGCACTCCTCACTTCCACAGCGGGTCGAGGATTTTCCCCAGTGTGGTCCGACTGGCGTCTCTCAGCCTGAAGGAGGCCCTTTCCCCCAGCGCTCTGCCCTTGGGAAGGGTCTCCCTGCTGGCGCCGGGGGCCTCGGCACAGTCTGCACCCTTCCGGGGGCTCCGGGCGCTGCCGGCCCGCCTCAGGGTGCCGCTGTCCTTGGAGGCCTCCTCCTCGGGGGTCCCCTTCACCCTGAGCTGCCGCTGCGAGACCGCCCGAGTGAGGCCGGGGGCTCTGGACGCGGCCGGGGGATCGGTTCTCATGCACCGAGAGGAGGAGGCCACGGTGTTGCGGGCAAAGCTGGGCACGGGGGCTGGGGCGCGGGGGGCGCTGGGGGCCGGCGGGCTCCTGGGCTCGTCGTCGGCGCCCTCCGAGGTGGAGCTCGAGCGGCACACCTTATTTTCCTCGGGCTTCTGCCTGGGGAGGTTCCTGAGGGGTTTGGCGGTGGGCTTCTTCAGGGAGCCCCTGGAGGGCACCGGGGCCTCCCTCCACGGCCGGGTGCTGCTCCGCGGCGGCCTCGGCTCCTCCACGGCCACCACCGCCTCAGCGCCCGTGGAGGGCCTGCGCGGCGACGTGTCCGAGGTGCCGAGCGCCGAGCCGCGGCGAGACAGCCGCGCGTCCACGCTGCCGGGCGAGTCCCGCGGGGACGCCCGCGACGGCGGCGGCTCGGGCCGCTTCCAGCCCGCAGGGCCCCGGCTCGCCTTGGAGATGGGCACGACCTTGCGCATGCTCTCGCTCTCCGAAGCGTTCAAGGTGCGCACGGGCTTGGGCGCGGCGCCCTGGCCCCGCCGCACGCTCGCCGGCCTGCAGGTGCTGGGAGCCGCCTCTCTCGGCGGGTTTCTCTTCGGCGTGGCCACTTCCTTCCCTTTGGCAGATCTGACCCTGGGAAGGCCCCCGTTGGCGCTGGGCTCACTCTTCACGGCCACGGCAGGTGCCTCCCCCGCGGGGCTGGATGCGGGGTTCGAGGAGGAGATCTGGCTGCCAGGCGTCGTCCCAGCCCCCGAGGACTCGGAGGCGCCCTCGTCCCCTGCCTCCTCCGGCTGCATCATGCTCGGCCGGGAGTCGGTTCCCTCCGAGCAGTCGAGGGTCAGGGAGCAGTCGGTGGCATCCGAGATGTACAATATAGGCGCGGGGTCTTTATTCTCGGGGTCGCTGCTCCCCGCAGACACCAGGGCTGCACCGCTGGGCTCCTCAGGCGCAGCGCCGCCATTTTCCACGGCCGGGCTGGGCGCCCTGGGGGACCTTCTGCCCTCGGAGCTGAGGGGCTGCGGAGGGCTCCTGTCCCCTGGGGACTCCTGTCCCTCAGGGCTGGAGTCACTCGGGGTCAGCCTGGACGGCTCCTCCAGGCCCTTGTGGCCCTGGAGGCTGAACTGGGCCAGCCCGGTCACCAGCTCGTGCTCCTTGATGCCCAGGGCCAGGGGCGAGAGTGGAGGGGACCAGGCCGGGCCCAGGCACACAGGTTCACTGTTCCTTTTCCTGAGGACGCTGGCCCCGCTGCGCCGAGCCCGCGGGAAGGCCGAGGCAGGCTCCTGGTGCCCCGGGGGAGCCGGAGGCTGGCTCTGCCCGTCGGAGCAGGGGTTGGGAGCTCTCTCCTGGCTCTCTGAGGCCTCGGCTCTGGGTGCAATGTTGGAGTCGTGGCGCCTGGGCGCTCCTGGCTCCGTCCAGGCCGGCGTGGGCCGGGCCTGCCGGGGGCTGCTCCGGGGCAAGCTGTTGAACTTGTTGGATTCCTCGGAGCTGCCCGAGGAGCTCTCCAGGAAGGTCAGCAGCTCCCGATCGGCAGACAGGCCCAGGGAGTGGCGGGACCGGCGGCTGCTGGGGGGCCGGTAGGAGGGGCTGCTGGGTCTGGGGTGCAGGAAGGGGGGCAGGTCCTCCGAGCCCTTCTGAGTCAGCAGCTCCACGTCATTCTCACTGCTGCTGCGGCCGAAGCCCCCAAGGTCTCCGGCCGTCCACGACCGTCGCTTCTGTTCCAAATCTTTCAGCCGCTGCTGCTTCCGCAGCTCCTGGACCTCCCGGTCGTGATTGTCCTGCATGAGGGGTACAGAGAAGCATGAGACATAGGGGACCCACCTGTGCAGCTCCAGTGCTCGCTCCCTGAGACCCTGCACGCAACACAGAGCCCGGTCACAGCCAGTGTTCAGGAGGAGACTGTGTGCCCGCACGTGTGCCTGTGTGCGGGTGTTGGGGGGGGGGGCTCTCCCAAGGCCTGGCCCCAACCATCCGGCCACACCAATCAGTATGCATCTGATCCCTGGGCCCCACTTCCTCAGTGCAGGCGAGATGTCACCCATGCCGGCGACTCCAAATGCTCCCAACAGCCAGGGCTGGGCCAGGCAGAAGCCAGGAGCCGGGAGCTCCATCCAGGTCTCCCACACGAGTGGCAGGGGCCCAAGGACCTGGGCTGTCTTCCACTACCTTCCCAGGTGTATTAGTGGAGAGCTGGACCAGAAGCAGAACAGCTGGGACCCAAACTGCCACTCTGATGTGGGATGCCAGCAAGCTAAGTGGCCGCTTATCGCAGGACTCCACAACACCGGCCCCCCAGACTTGGTTTCCAAGCAGGGAAAAGCTGAGAGGATTCCAGGACCGTGCTGTTTAGGCAACGGCGAGAGAAAAATGCCCCAGGTGCTGTATGAGTGAGCCTACAATTGGGCCTCTGTGTGCTGCATGGATGTTATCTGGGCACACATTCAAGTGCAGCCCATTCTACCTGGAGGACCCACAGCTGCACCTGTTGTAGCAGGCAGAGCAAGGGACGCCTTTCAGCTCTGTTCTCTGCTGTGAGAGCTCTGCCCAGCGTGCCGGGCCTGTGCGCAGAGACGAGAAGGAGCAACAGTTTTGCTTTACAAACCTCAACCCTTCCACCCTGCTCCAAAGCACACAGAGCCCTCCGTGACGAAACCACAGCACGCTTCGCCTGGCCACAGGTTTCAGCAGACAGATGCCCTTCGCTGTCCACGCGGAACTGGTCCCAGGACGCCCCCTGGGATGCCACAGTAGGTCGACGAGGCCCTTTTATAAGATGGGGCACTTTTTGCATAAAAGCCGCCCTCTATCCTCACGTATACTGTAGATCACCTCTGGCTTACTTACACTGCCCAATGCAATGTAAGTACTACGTGAACAGCCGTTCCTCCATTATCATTCAGGGAATAAACAATTAAAAAAAAAAAAAAGCAGTACATGTTGAGCACAGATGTAATTCCCCCAGAAATATTTTCAGCGCACTGTCGGTTGAATCCATGGGTTTGTGGCCCGTGGGTGTGGGGGCGTGGCTGTTGTTAGTGTCCCTTAATGACGTGGCCTTCCCAGCCCCAATCTACTCCCGTTAGCAGCTTTGACTTAAATATCGATTTCCTCCAGTGGTTGGACTTTCCAAGTTTCTGTGAGGCTCCAGCCGGGGACTCTTGGCTCCTCCTGTAGCTTTGGCCTCAGCCTCCCGCAAGGTCCCCAAGTCTCCCAGGCTGTCTCCCCTCAAGGCGGTGGGGAGTGGGGGAGGGGGGCCAGGCTGGGCCGCTCAGAGCATCACACAGGTGTGGCTCATGGGCGTGGAGCCCTCACGGGGAGCCCGTTTGGCCTCCAGCACCCACCACAGCCCCCCACAGCTGAGCTCATGGCTTGGCCCAGGGAGCGTGAACGTGGCTACAGCCTGGGCCCCCCGCTTTCACAGGACAGAGAAAGGAGTGGCCAAGAATGCAAAGTGATTTGGGGCTTGAGGGGAGCGTGACCGGTCCCTCTGAGAAACACGGCTGTGGACAGATCTGCAGTTTCAACATGGGGGAACACGTGACTCACACGCATTTGGGAGCGCATCCCCACCCGGGACGAAGGCCTGGGGCTGCTGTTTGGTTCTTCACTGACAGATAAAGTTTCAGCTGCAAACATCCCACAGAGTTTTCTGGCTCCTGCCCCGAACTCGGAGGTCATGGGCTGGGCGGCCAAAGGAGGACAACCCTATCCTACGTGGATGTGAATCCCACAGCTGCTCTGGCCAAGGACACCATGGTTCCCATGGCAACATGAGTCTCCCTGGAAGGGGACAGTCTCCTCCAAGGAGGGGACGAGAACTACTGCTGTCATAAAGAACCAGATGCTGGATGCAAGCCTGGGTCAGAGAAACACAGGATGGGAGGCGGCCATGCGCCAGTCTCCCGATGACTCCCGGAGCCAAGAGCCTGGTCACGCCGCCTGGGCCACAAGTCCCTGAAACCCTGGAGATGCTGAACTGTGCTGTGGGCAGAGGATGGGGCCAGCAGCGGGGTGGAGAAAAACCCAAACAACTCGGGCAACACGGAGGTGCCCCCAGCCGTACCTGAACTGCTTTGTTGAACTTGACGCAGAAGTCTCTGAATATCTGCAAGCATTCGTCCAGTTTCATGGTTTCTTTGTCTTCGCAAAAGAAGTCTATGAGGGTGTGGGCCTCGTCCTGCAGCTCTTGTTTCCAGTGCTCCAGTTCTGTCAGCTTTTCCACGGCAAACTGCGGAACACAAGCGGGCGCAGGCGGAGGTCAGCAGCAGGCCGGGCGCTGGGCGTCCCCTCAGGGCCCAGGACGTGCCCGCTCCTATGTTCTGGCTCAGGTCCCGGGACCCGCAGGCTTCCTGTGAGGCCGATGCACCCAAGGGCAATGCCAAGGGCAAATAATGCAACCCAAGCACAACCTCGGGCAAGCGGGCAGATGCCTTTGAGAACCTGCCATGGACACAGATGTCACCTTTATGTCGCTGAGGAAACTCACGGGCCTACAGTCGATCTGATGAAGAAATCTCCCCCTGCACCTCTCCTTCCTTCTTAGAAAGCTGTCTTACACTGGCCTAGAGTCTACTATAGGGTGCCTGAAGTCACTTGCTGGATTGATGACTTGTCAGCTTAGCCCTGTTGACAGAAAGTTCACACTTAACCCCTGACTTGGGCCACAGGACTGAAGCCGGGATTCTTGGCCAAGGCAGCCAGACGCCCCAGGCAGCAGCCCCTGCTGACACCCCCTATCATGCAACTTAATGGGTTTGTGGGAGCTCTGCTTTCATGTTTTATTAGCCCCCCTCCCCCCAACAGGAGACTCTGATGGCTCCTTGTGGTTAGAAGTTACTGCCCTGCGGCCAGCACTGTGGTATAGCCGGTAAAACCGCTGCCTGCGGTGCTGACATCCCATATGGGCACTGGTTCAAGTCCTGGCTGCTCCACTTCCAATCCAGCTCTCGGCTATGGCCTGGGAAAGCAGCAGCAGATGGCCCAAGTCCTTGGGCCCCTGTACCCACATGGGAAACCCGGAAGAAGCTCTTGGCTCCTGGCTTCAGATCAGCTCAGCTCTGTCCATTGCAGCCATTTGGGGAGTGAACCAGCGGGTAGAAGACCCTTTCTCCCTCTCTCTCTAGCTCTGACTTTCAAATAAAATGTCTTTTTTTTTTTTTTAAGAAGTTACTTTCCCTACAAGCCCACTCTCTTCTCTATTTTGCCCTACTTCTTCTAGGTCGAATACATCCGTGAGCTCCTACAGAAGCTGGTACTGCCTCAACAAGGTGTGGGAATGAAGGAAGTTCTCTCTCCTGTCCTGCAGTGAGTCCACACGCCTTTCCAGATGGAGTCTTCCACCTCCGAGGGTCCCACACACCACGGCACGGGAGGGACAGGGACTCCGGGGCAGCCACAGCCCCACAGGAGACCGAGGGCTGGGGTCCACACTCAAGTCCCGTCCGGCCTTCCGGTCCCATGGGCAAGTGGTCTGTTTGAAGATGGCGTGTGCGAGGTATGCTATGCCATGAGACCACATGGCTCGGGTTTCGGAAGAGCGTCTCTGAGACAGAGGGCCCAGCCCCTGGGAGTCGCGTCCCCGGCCCCTTTCCCCCTTGAAGGCCCTTCCCTCATACCAAACACACGTGAGAGGTAGCAGGAAACCAAAAGTATTTAGGAAAGCAAATAGCAGAGAAAGCGACCCTGGGAGTCAGGGCCCCCAGGCAGCCCGCGAGCCCGCTGCGTGTCTCTTGGCGGGCAGGAGGAATTATCCAAAGAATAAATCTCCGCCTGTCACTCCTCTACGGGGGCGGGAGGGGGCATGGATGGCAGCCAAGGGCCCCTGAGCTGTGCAAAGAGGCCCCTTGACAAGAATCTCCACGGGAACCGTGCCCCACCTCCCAGGGCCCGTGGGGACAGACGGACAGATGGGCAGAGGGAAAAACGGAAACGCAGCGAAGCCACCTTAGGACCTCAGAAAACCTAACCAAGCTCGCGCGCTCTGTGACACACTCCATTCCATGCCACGTCTCCGGCTTGCCTGAGAGGGGCCCCAGGCCCACACAGGTAACTCGGCAGTTCTCACCGGAAGGGTCTGCCGAACAGGCCTCCTGCCGCCTCCCGCCCAGAGCCATGCTGCGAGGTCTGGTCGGAGTTCAGCGCTGTGCCCAGGGCCTGACCCTAGCTCATCTCACCTGCTCCACAGGCAGCTGTACCCTGAGCCTGGCTGTGTCGGCATTTAGTCTGGGGGGCCTAATCGTTACTCGGGGGAAGGCAACGTCCAGAAGTAGAATTAGGACAGGTCAGGTGGTATTTCTGCAACCCTGTGTACCGGTGGTGGGGACTTGGGCACCAAGCAAGGCCCACTGCTGTTCTGGTGGCACACGTGAGCAAAGGCCTCTGCTGGCACAAGCCTTGGGGACCTGCTGTTCCTCTCTAGCACCCAGTGCCCCCTCGCACGCCGAGCACCCCCGGCACCTGGGGTGGCTCCTGTCTCACTGAGGGCTGAAAGCACGGCCGGTGTCACTTCCTTCTTCAGTAAGGGAGAGACAAGTGTGTCAGCCTAAGTGATGAGTGAGTCACGCCGCACACAGGTCCGCTCCGCCGTGCTTGGGCGAAGCCCTTCCAGGCAGCTCCCGACAGGCCCCGGGGGCCTGATGGGCGTGGCCTCTGCAGCTGCCCTGGGAAAGCACGCTAGGCACATGCAAGTGGCGAGGACACCCCGAGCTCTAAGGCTGTCTTGATGTCTGTGGGGCTTTGTTTGGGTGTGCAGAGACAAAACCCAAGTTGCCAGGGCGAGTCCAGGGTAAGCAAGCCCGGTAAGCCACCGGCGGCCAGCCACTGAGCACAGCGCCATGGTGCAGCCTCCCAAGGAAGACCAGAGGCCCGGTCCCCAGACTCAGCCACGGCCTCTGTCAAATACGGACGGGGGACTACGCGGCTCTGCTTCCTGACCCGGCAGTGGAGGAGCCTGCAGCAGCCACGGAAGCCCCTGCCGACGGCTGGAGTCGCCTACAGACCTGAAGGAAGTCTTCCATCTGCTGGCCCAGCTCCGCGTCCCGCTGCATGTTTTCCTGGAGCGACCGCGTCCTGACGAACAGGGAGCGCAGCTCTGCCTCGGTGCTGTCCAGGGATAATCTGAAAGGAGACAGGGGCGAGCGGGCAGTGGGCACGAGGGAGCCGCGTGGCACGTCACACAGGAATGACCGTTTGGCCAGCTCTGGGAACAGAAGGGATGGCGCCTGCGGGACGCCCCCTCCCCACCCCTGTACCGAGGGCTCCCGTGTTCCCTTTTGTTGTGTTAAGAGGTGATCCCTTCCTGCAGACTGGTGCGGATTCCTAGAGGACAGGCAGTAACTTCGTTTCTGCCGGGGAGATGGTCAGAGCCCTGGGACCTGAGGGCTTTCATAACTAGTTTCTGGACGGCTGCACGCAGAAAGCACTACACACCAAGAGCCGAGGGCGGGCAGCTGAGCGCCAGGTTAGATTCTCCCAGCTCCAGCTTCCTGGGTGGGGGGCAGCGGCCAGGCTCCAGTACTCGGGGTTACCGGGCTGGCCTCCTCTCCCCACAGCCAGCCAGGGCAGGCTCCACATATTTGATGGAGAACTGAAACACAGCTCCCTCTTGAGCAAATAAATACTTGGATTCATGGCAATGCTTCTGTTACAGACATCCAGTCCAGACTGGAAAGAACAGGAATGAAGGTTTCATCACCTTGGAAAGTGGGGAGATAAACATCTAAAATCCAGGTGAGATTCATAAATTAAGATGCACTAACACTTCCACTGTGGATTCCAAAAGTCTTTCTTTGGATAGTAAAGCAGTCCACCTTCGAAGGTCCCTGGCTGCCATCTGTGATCTGTCTGTACTTTAGAAGCTTACTGTACCTCCCATGTCCAACCAACCAACCAACCTGACCAAACAGAGCGCTTCTCAGATAGTATCTAGCCAAACTTCTCAGCCAGCCCTGACCAGAAATGCCAGTTCAAAAAAAATCAGAATGGCAGTTTCTCTCTATCTCTACTAGTTATATTTCCATACTAGTTAAGAGGAAAACTGTTCCCATGTAAACTTTGTTCATTCAAAACAAAAACAGTTCCTGGCCCGTAAGCCACCCACTCTTTCGGGCGGGCACTTTGGCCATCTGTAAACATGAATTATGAATGGGTGACACCTCTGAGCTGACAGTCCCACTCTGGGAAAGATGTATAATCTGTGGGCAGATTTCGCAGTCGATCGCATCGAGATACCCATCAATGACAGGGCTGCGAGCTAGGGTTCGTTTGTTTACATCACACGGCTCATAGCTGTCATAGCTGGACAGAGCCTCTCAAATTATAAGTGTGTGGCATGAACTGAGTCAACCCCCACAAGTGTGCTGAGCCAACTCCTCGGGGCCGATGGGGGGGGGGTCTCTCCCAGCTCTGCATTCAGTAATGCCACCTCGGCAGCTGACTGAAAACCGACCATGGAAGTCGGCAGGGGCTAGGAAGCAGCTGGTTGGTTACTGGACATTTGCCTCAGGGTGCATGGAGATACATATTATATGCCATCAAACCCAGAACTCAGAATAGTAGGCACACAGAGATTATAACTACATTAAAACACATATCTGTATTAGGATCAGAAGCAAATTGGAGTGATGTAATAATCAGAGCTTTATGTTTGGTGGATACTTTCTCTGTGAAGCAGAGTGACTAATTCAAAATAAATCCTTTCCCAGCACTTGGTACGGTTCCAATCCCTTTTAGTGCAATGGAAAATAAATGTACCATGTTAGCTTCTACGAGGAAGCAGTGACGGATGGCCTGCAAGTCTGACAGGCCAGAGTACTGAGCTCTAGCTCTTGGGTGTGGAGGGATTTGAAGTTCTTAATCCATATATTTTGTTAATACTAATGATATTCATTGGAGGACGCTGAAATGTTTGAAAGTCAAGATTGATTATTAAAAAAACCCAAATTCCAAAGGTGCACACACATCCACGCCTCTGCTGAGTCCATGAGTAAGTAGAGGGCCTGAGAAGCTCAACAAGACAAAACTTTTCAGAGTTCGAACCTGACTCCAAATCTGCAAGAAGGCCTGCGTTTTCCTAGGAAGGCAGAGTTGGAACACGCTGAGCCTCAGGACTTGCCTTCCAGCGCCCCAGCTTACCTAGCAGCCTCCTGAACGTGCTGCAGTTTTGCTGAAAACTGGAGAAGAACCGCATCTTTCTTTTGGGCTTCCTGGAACAAAACCAGAATTTTTTCTCACGGGATGGCTACAACTGGGAGCCAATCATTTTCTGGGGACTTAGGAACATTCAAATTGCTGCTCCTGTTTCTCAGCTTGTTGCATTCGAAGCGACTGCTGGGACACGAACCCTGACAGTAAGATTCAGCAGAAATTCCTGACCCTCAAGATCCAGTTAGCTTGCTGGGCAATTGATGGGGACGGGAAGCCCAACCTGTGTGCGGGTGACCCTGGTGGAGGGAGGTGCCAGCTCCGCAGAGCCCGCTGTTGCTGGGGGAACCCGATCCTCCTGTTGAATGCCGCCCACACCCGGGAGCCTGCCTCTGAATGGCCGAGATGCCTTCGGCTGCTAAACCAGTCTGCAAGCTGAGTGTAACCAGAAGGTGCACAAGCGTGGGGGTGTCTGGATTCTTCACCTGTTCAGAGGGTGAGAGGGAGTGGGGGGAGGGGAGCCACGACGGACTGGGGAGATGTCCCAGCACAGGCAGGGACCAGGTCACACAGAGTGACTGGACGCATGGGTCGGTAACAGCCCTGCTGTTATGCCCTGGAAGCTGACTTTCCAATCAGGCGGGGAGCTGGACACGGCCCGCTGCCTTCCGCGGACACAGCGATGCAGGTGCGTGTGGTTGAGGCGGGCTTGCTGCGCACCACACTCGCTCTGAGCCCTTCCCAACCCTGTCTCAGTCACCTGATTCTGAGGGAAGCTACCACCACCCCCTGCACTCGGTGAAAAACTGGAGGGGCTGAAGGCCTGAGCCGCTTGTCCAGGAAGTCCAGGCGACGCAGGACGCTGAGACCCTTCCCGTTCTGAAGCTCCCGCCCAGCACAAGCAGGCGGCGTGGCTTCCTGCTTGGGTGAGGGCTCGGTGCGTGTCACCAGTGTCACACGAGGGGAGCCAGCGGAGGAGAGGCAGTCAGTGTAACCAGGGGGTGACTCCGCAGAGACAGCGGCTCGGCTGCTCTGTCACCCTGCACCCAGCTGTCCTGGGCTCGCAAAGACCCCCTTGAAAAAAAGCAAGCCACAGCCTCCAGGCCTGCAAAGCACAGTTCACAGACAAGTTTTCTCTGCAGAAAACAAATCAATTCCACATCCTCTCCTCTCTGCCCTTGAGCCCCCACCACAAGCTGAGACGTACCCCCAGCCTTATTTTTCCAAAAACAAAACACCTGGCCACGCCATCATGTGGCGCACACAGTTCTGTGGGCTCCCGGTGGCTCCAGCATAAGATCCACCCCAGCCCCCCACCCCTGCCTTTGACAGCTGAGTGTGGTGACAGCGGCGCCCCCGCCCCACCTCCCCGCAGCCCCAGGCACAGCTCCACACAGGTATCCCTGGTGGTGCTCCTGCAGACAGGGCCTCCTCGGAGCTCTGCCACGCCCTTTTCCGGCTCTGTCTGATGCCACCTCACGCCTGGGAAAAACTGTCCCGTGCCCGAGGGGCTTCCTACACATTCTGTCTCTGCGCGCACCGCTTCCCACACACCTGAGCGACGAAGTGCAGGAGACTCATGCCAGGCTTGTTTGATTTTGTGTCTGCCAGTTTGAGCAAAGATGACAGTTTAAATCCCACCGCATTGCCAGCATACCCTCCCTGCAGAAGACAAAGCAAAGGGAAGAAATATTTATGGGTATGTGCAGCCATGGACCAAGCTGAAGACACAACATTTTAGTTGCTTTAGATCTTACTTACTGCGTTCATGATATTTCCGGCCTGGAGCACCAGGTGCAGTATCGAGTGCAGCTCCTCACATGACATCAGCTCTATCGAAAAGAACACACACAGGCCCTGAGAGAAGCCTTCCGCTGCCCAAGGCGCAAGAGCTACCCGAGCCAAGCTCGAGGGTTCCTGAAGTGGGCGCTGACCTTAAACTGGGGACAGAAGTTTTGTAAAGTCCATGCATAGGAGGGGTGCTCAAAAAGTTCATGGAAAATGCATATACATGGACTTCAAAATTTTTTTGTACCAAAATAAACATGGTTTCATTCTGCGAACTTTTCAAAGAACGCTTGTAACCTAACGTATTATGTGCCACTGGCAATCTGTGTCATAGTGTTTGGGAATCAAATGTATATATATACAACAGTCTATTGCCACAAAAATCATTCAATAATGAAAATTTTCAAGTGGCGAAAAATATAAAAGGCTATTGAGAGGCAGTATATTGTGCTACAACACTTTGATTTTTTTTCTCTAGGCCCATGAGTCTTTGGGAACGTGTTTATGGAATATGAAAACTAACAGCAAGCAAGTTTTGCTTAGCCAGTAAGTTACGAGGAGATAAAAAAGAAACAGACTGAGTGAATAAGGTAAATAACTTGCAAAGCACCCAGATCTCAGGGCCCAGGAGCTAAGAGGAAAAGCTACACATTTCACTTGGCTTGGCTGAAGAACTTAAAAACGACCTTACTGTAATATATTGGTCAACTAGTTCTTTATTTATTACCAAGTCCTTTGTACATCTACGCAAAGAAACAAATTTTAGAATTTTAAAAATATATTTGAAAAGCTGAGAGGAAAACAATCATTAAAATTAGGGTATATACACATAAAATGTGTCCTGTGGCATTTTCAAGTGATATCCTCCATGAAGTCAGTATTATTGAAAAAAAAACTCCACCTTACTCTTGGATCACTGCCTGCGTTTTGTTATCTAAGCAGGCCAGTTTGGGAAGGGTAACCAGATAAGAAATGTTTCCACCAGGCCCATAAATTTGCATTGCTGAATAAGAAAACATATCCCCCCACCTCTCTCTGAGCAGAAAGAGCTACACTTACAGAGTTGCTGCAATATGCTCTTGCTATGGGAAAAATGTGAAAAGGTCTCTCATCACAAGCAGAAAACTTTCTGAGCCTAGTCTCTCAATGAAGAAAAGATGGCGGGTCAGAGAGAGAAACTTCATCTCAACCCAGGGCAGAGCACGCATCAAGACACCACCTAGGAACACACAGCTCTGTGACGATAACGGGGAGTCCCAGAACCGGAAGACGACCGAGAGAAGCCAGGCTGGCTCTGAGTGTGGGGGCGGGGAAGGTGTGCTGACGCGCCGGGAGCCCACCAGAAGTGGGCAGATGCCAGACACCAACGCCCCCTCCCCATGGAGTGAGACAGTGACAGGACCCTCAGTGTCTGTCCAGGCCGGCAGGGCCCCAGCCACCAAGGAAGGCTGCAGCAGGGAGGAGAGAAACAGCTGGCCTGCAGCTGATCATGCACACACACACACACACACAACACAGACATATGCACACACAAAGAAACACACACTGTACCACAGCACACAGGCAGCACACACCTGTACCACCTATACACTCACACTCACACACACACACACACATATACAGAGAAATACACACTGTACCACAGTACACAGGCAGCACACAACTGCACCACACACACACACAGAAACACACACCACACAGGCAGCACACACCTGTACAACATACACAGACACATCACACCACACACAGAGATACTGTATATTTGTACCACACAACATAGACACAGACACAGAGACACACACAAATACACAGACACATCATACCACATATACTATACACCCATACCACACACACATACACACACAGAGACAGACACATCACATAGCACACAGACACTATCCACCCATAGTACACATATAGAGACAGAGACACACACACAGACACAGAGACCACAGAGACACATACACAGACACGTCACATCACACCACATGTGCTATACACCCATACCACACATATAGAGACACATACACACACACGCAGACACACACATATACAGACACACACACATACACAGACACTACACAACCATACCACACACACAGAGACACAGAGACCACAGACGCATCACATCACACCACATATGCTATACACCCATACCACACATACAGAGACAGACACACATAGACACAGACACACACACACACACACACACACCCATACACAGACACATCACATAGCACACAGACACTACACACCCATACCACACACACAGACACACAGAGACCACAGAGACACATCACATCACACCACTATGCTATACAGCCATACCACACATACAGAGACAGACACACACACATGAACACATACACAGACACAGACACACAGAGACACACACGCACACACAGAGACTCACACACACACACGGACACTATATGGACACAAACAGAAAGCTAACCTAGGAGAGGAACACAGAGAGCTACCACCAGCCAGGTTTACCCCAAAGCCTGAGATCAAAGAAACTTTCTTTCATGGAAGAACATAAAAATTAATACTCACTATGGGGAATAAAAGCACCAATAGATATAACTCCAGGTCATCCACAGTAATGCCTCATTTCCCTTTTAGGGTACCTCAGAAATGGGACTTTCTATTTCTGATTTCATTTGAATTTTTCACAAATAAACTGCTATCACAACAAATAACAACACATAGTAGGAAGAGCGTGCATTTGCTGACCTTTCATAGCAGCTTTTAAAATCGTTGCATCCGTGTACAGAGAAGAACAAGAAGGCAGAAACTCCTTCTTTAGCACCATGGCTTCAATCCGAAGTGAATAGCTGAAAGAGACAGAGCACACTGTACAATGGAAGGTCATTTCTTTAAAAAAAAAAAAAAACTTCCCTCTGCCAACAATAATGATCGGCGGCTTTGTCCTTACTTTGGCACCTGAATTAAGTGGTACAGGAAGGAGTCTGCCAGGGACAGCTTGGACACATCCCCACTAAATGCTTTCAACTTCTTCACCTACGAGACAAATGGAGAAGGGAGCAGAGAAAGAAAAATCAGTTGCAATTAAAATCTGAGATTTCTCATGTCATCTTAGAATTCTACTAAAATGTGACTTTCAGTATGGAATAAAAATGTAGACCTCAGGGAAGACAGGAAAGGGGATCACACTGAGGTGGCGGCATCGCATGGTGGGTCCAGCCGCCACCTGCAGCACCAGCATCCCAGGTTGGAGCGCCGGTTCAAGTCCCGGCTGCTCCACTTCCAATCCAGCTCCCTGCTAGTACACCTGGGAAAGCAGTGCAAGATGGCTTGGGTCTCTGCCACTCACATGGGAGAGTGGGATGGAGCTCCTGGCTCTTAGCTTTGGCCTGGCCCAGCCCTGGCTGTTAAGGCCCTTTGGGGAGTGAACCAGCAGATGGAAGATCTCTCTCTCTCTTTCTCTCTGTCTCTCCCTTTCTCTCAGTCTGCCTTTCAAGTAAATAAAATAAAGCTTTTTAAAAAGCCACAAAAAAAGGACATTACACCTACTACTTTTTTAGAAGAAAAAAAACTACAAATTTGAAGGAGAGAGGCTAGTGCCACTTAGGTAGCTTTAGCTATGAGGATACTTCAAAAAGCTTGTGAAAAACAGAATTACAAGATAAGCTTATTTTTGTGCAAAAATTCTTGAATCTGTCTATATGAGGAATCTAAAAGTTCATAGAAAAAGCTCCTGAGAAAAAAGTATGCATGGATTTCACATTTTTTTTGCACAAAAATAATTTTAACATTAAAAAAAAGTATGTACTGGGGCCGGCGCTGTGGCGCAGCGGGTTGACGCCCTGGCCTGAGGTGCCGGCATCCCATATGCGCGCCAGTGCTAGTCCTGGCTGCTTCTCTTCCAACCCGGCTCTCTGCTGTGGCCTGGGAAAGCAGTGGAGGATGGCCCAGGTCCTCGGGCCCCTGCGCCCGCGTGGGAGACCTGGAGGAAGCTCCTGGCTCCTGGCTTCGGATCGGCGCAGCTCCGGCTGTTGCAGCCATTTGGGGAGTGAACCATCGGACGGAAGTCCTCTCTCTCTCTCTCTCTCTCTCTCTCTGCCTCTCCTCTCTCTGTATAACTCTGACTTTCAAATAAGTAAATAAATATTTTTTAAAAATTATGTATCATAATTAGAAATTTTTTTAGATTTACTTTATTCATTTGAGAGACAGAGACATTGAACAAGCTCTCAGGCACTGGTTCGGTTCACTACCCAGATGCCTACAACAGCCAGGGCTGAGCTGGGCAAAGCCAGGAGCTGGGAACTCCACCCAGGTCTCCCCTGTGGGTGGCTGAGATCCAACTACCTGAGCCCTCACTGCTGCCTCCCAGGGTCTGCATTAGCAGGAGGCTGGAATCCCGGGCGGAGCTGGGACTCGAACCCAGGCACTCGGACATGGTGAGCCTCCCAGGCAGTGAATCAACCACGAGGTCAAACAGCCACCCCAAAAGTTACCTTTTACTTCCATTTTCCTGCGAACTTTTTAAAGATTTGGTTATTTGAAAGGCAGAGTTACAGAGAAAGAAAAGGGGAGGGGGGGATCTTCCATCCTCAAATGTTTGGTTCACTCCCCAAACGGCCAGGGCTGGTTCAGGCCGAAGTCAGGAGCCCAGAACTCCATCCTGATCTACCAAGTGGGTGGCAGGGGCCTAAGGACTAGGGCCAGCATCTGCTGCCTCCAAGGTACATTAGCAGGAGCTGGACTGGAAGTGGAGCAGCCGGGACTCGAACAAGTGCTTTGGTCGGGGAAGCTGGCGTCTCAGGCAGGGCTTCCTCTGTTGTACCATGGTGCCAGCCTCTTCCGTGCACTTTCTAAGGTGTCCTTATATTTTCCTCTGCTGCTCATTTGTGTTTTCCACAACATCTACAATGAACCTGTATTATACTCATATAAACTAAAGCACACGAATATCCCTTCCATTATAAGAAAAGGAAAACAAGAAGAGCTAGGCTACAGGTATAGAGCCACAGCTGGCAGGTGGGGGTACACGCAGAGAAAGTTCTGGAACGGGGTGGGAGGGAAACCTGGACCAAGCTGATGGCAAAACCACTTTGAAGGCCACTGTGCATCACTGTTCATCAGTCTTGTGACGAGCACTTCCTGTTAGGTGGCAGCTGAATACCCCAGTGACACAAGTCACCTGCTTGACATCTGACTGCCACTACTGAGTGCTTACTGCTTGCTGCTCTTCTTTATAAAGCTCACTCTCTTCCACCCCTACATTATTAATAATATGATTTCAAGTCCCTTGAAAAATAGGAAAAAAAATCACAGTTCAAGGACATAAAGAAAGAAGTGTTTGCCAAGAGCTACAAATTGAAATACCTATCTCTATTTGAAAATATTAGTGCCGGCTGCTCCACTTCCGATCCAGCTCTCTGTTATGGCCTGGGAAAGCAGTGAAAGATGGCCCAAGTCCTTGGGCCCCTGCACCCACGTGGGAGACCTGGAAGAAGCTCCTGGTTCCTGGCTTCTGATTGGCTCAGCTCCAGCCATTGCAGCCATTTGGGGAGTGAACCAGTAGATGAAAGACCTCTCTCTCTCTGCCTCTCCTTCTCTCTCTATGTAACTCTGATTTTCAAATAAAATAAATAATAATTCTAAAAACATAAAATATTTTAAAAAATGAAACAGCGCAATTTATATACTGGTAATAGACGTTTCTTAGGACAAAAAAAGAGTATTTTTAGGACAGAATACAGCCATGTTCAGAGTTGTGTTTCCCTTACTTTACAGCCTGTAAATGAACTGAGCACAATTGGTCTTATTAAATATGAAGGCACGGGGCACTTCCATTTTAGCTAAAACGAATCTGAGCTGAGATACTGGTTGGGGGGAGGGGTCCTGTTCCCTTCAGCAACTCCCACCGTGCAGCCGGGGCCCAGGCACGAAGCTCCCGCAGAGCTGCTGGAAGGGACGGCGTGGTGCTGGGTGCAGAGCGCAGGGACAGGTCACGCTAAGTAAACCTGGTGCCTCCTGCTATTAAACATGCACTAAGCTGTAACCAAGCAGTGATTAATCTCCCTCACTTATGTAAGAGCCTGGAAATGTTTATAGATTTCAAGAGAATGGTGATGAAAGACAGTATTTAATGTAAACACCACGGACATGGTTCTTCGTTCTCTTTCAAAACGAGAGTTCTGTTCATTAAGAGGGATTACCGGGCCTTCCCAGTGGTAGGGAAGTAAAAAGGAGAGGTGAAGGCACCCTATAATTACTACGCATCCTCATCATCACCAAAAAGCATTTATTAAACCTCATTAAGGCGTAATTTTCGTTATGCCCGGCTGTGCCAGGTTTCCATCCTATGATAGCAAGAGCACACCCTGCAGTCCCAGGGGGCAGGGCACCTTCATGCCTCGGAGGGCCTGCAGACGGCAGGACTCCCCACAAACACAGCCCCCAACGGCAGACCCCTGGCACTTTCCCTCCAGACAGGGATGCCGTAACACCAGGAGGCACCTCGCCTGCTTCCAGAGTCGCAAGACTCTCCAAGCCCTGGGCCCAAGGTCAGGCACCGGGCAAGGAGCAGGGGCTGGTGGGGCTGGGTGGGGGAGGGGTACTCCCTGGCTCCTCTCACTGCTGCCCTCCGGCACGGAGACACTTTGCTGGTCAAGAAGCCCCTCCCCGCATTTCATTTCTGGGTGTACAGTCTTCCTCGGCAAGTGTCAACCGCCCTTCAGAGGAAAGACAAAATCAGACAGAGGGTTTCGGCACAGACAAGGTAACCTTGGCTTCGGCTGGCTTGTCGGCAGAGAAGGCAGGAGTGAAAAGGGCTGCTTCCGTTCGTACTTTTCATCGCGTTAATAAGATTAGAGAATCACTCTGGTGACACTCCCCGCGATATGCGGTGACAGCAGAAGTGATGAAAAGGTGGGCGGGCCAGCTCCGCCGTGTGGGGCAGAGTTTTGACAACCTTTGCCCTTCCTGCCTCTAGGGGAGCTGGCAGAAGGGAGCAGGATCGCTCCAGGGCCGGAGGGATCAGAGTTCAAGTCCACCTAGCCATCGTGTGACACCAGGCACGCAGACAGGTTCTATCTAACCTCTGTGAGCCTCGCTTTCTTATTTGTAAAGTGAGTAACGTTTTATAACCTCGCCGTAAAAGTTAAATGAAAAAATGCACACAGACACACACACACAATTCATCACTCTGGCCTGCTGCCTCGCTAGGAGCCAGGCACTGGGGAGCGCTTTAAACACCTGACCTCATCTCGTAGCATTCATGGTGACACCAGGCAGGTGTCTGGTCCTTTCCTTATGCCACAGGCGAGACCATACGTGGGGACACGCACTCTTATGAATTTCCCAGTGTTTGGCTGTCACGTTCTAAACCCTCTTTTCCTTGGCCCTGTAGCGTCCCTGGCCTCATCCCCAGCCTCCAACCCTCCATCTGGAGCCCTGAAGATTCCAGAGCCAGCCGTGGGTCCTGGGGGTACCCAGAGACCACCAAGCAGAGCCAGCAAAGCCACCGTGTCCCTGCAGCAGGCAAGCTGTGGTGGCTGTGGCTTTTCCTGGGCCCCGGCAGCCAGCACGGATCCCCAGTGTGTCATGGAGGGACTGTCAGGGTGCTCCTGCTGGAGGAAGCTCCCAGCTGAGCCTGGAGGGTGTGGTGAGGCAGTGAAATAAACAGGAGTGACCAAGCTTGTGAGACACGCAGGCTGGGGGTGACCCTGCAGCAAGGGGCTGAGGTGGCCAAATCGCACACCAGGGCTTCATCCCCGCAGGACGCTGGGTCTGGGGCCAACAGCTGCAGGGCCCAGGGGCAGGCCCTGGGTGGGTTTCTATCACCTTGCCCTTAACATTCTTCCTGTAGGATCACATCCCACAGAGTTCTTTAACACCTGCGACATTTGACAGCTCATCTGCCTTTCTGAAAAACGCCTCTGCATTTTCCAATCAGCTCTGCGTTGTAAATGAGAGAGGACGATATTAAGAAGATCACATTCCCACCTCCTCGTGGCACGAAGCTGGCAGCTTCCACTCTTGCCTAACTTGCACTAAGTCAGAAAGTGAGAGCTTTTTCAAGGCGCCGGCCCACGCGCCAGCACGATGGCTCCTCACCGAGGAAAGCCACGTATAGACTGTGAGCGCAAATGAATCTTTTAAAAATTCAAGTTCATTAAGCCCCAACCCTCCCCACAGGGGTTCTGGAACTCCCATTCCTTACATCAAACAACGATTAAGGACTGTCCAGTAGGGAGGATCCAGAGAAGATTAGGATTGAAGGTACCTCTCCTTTAAGACTTTAAGTCCCTTCACCAACATCGACAGATGCCACTGATTAATCTAGGCTTAGGAAAATTACACACAACGTGCAAACAAAACCCCAGGTCGGCAGGGAACTTCAGCTCTGCAGAATCACCTGGACATACCTGGGGCCTGGCTCCCGGGGAACACCCTGATTTGGCATTGTGAATTTAACACTGGTCAACATCACAGGGCACAATTATCTCACTCTTGCTATTCAATGTCAGTAAAAGTCAAGTTCAGAAGTCGTGTGTCTGGAAAGCACAGTGGGATGGGATGGGACGAGGAGCCCATCATCTAGGTAAAAAGGCTGACGGACACCAAAAGCCACTCTTAAACTGAGCTCACCCCAAACTCGTCCTTTAATGAGGGGTCTTCACAAATCTCACGGGAAACGCGTATTATGAAAAAATGATGCACAGATTTTAAAAAAAAATGCCTGCACTACAACAAACATCTTTAACTCCATTTTCCATGAACTGGTTGAAGTATCATTGTACTTACAAAGTAAAAAAAAAATTAAGACTATAATAATTAATGTTCACTACTTCTCAAATTATTTTAGAAATAAACAACGTCACCATTTGGGAAGCTTTCATACAACTGTTATTCTGTTGGTTCCCTTCTGGCTTGTAGCCATTCGACAATTCAGTTAATTCAGTCTAAACAAGTTAAAGAACTTGATGGGAAGGAGCCGTATTGCTGCCCCAGCAGTTTCTTTCAATTATGCAGAAGGCATCTGTTAGAAGTTTACCAATCTCTGCAAGGTTTTAGAGCATCTTTATGCAGCAGTGGTCCTCCTCTTTTTCTTTTCTTTTCTTTTCTTTTTTTTTTTTTTTAAGTGTATGTATTAGCCGTAGCCGCTGCTCACTATGCTAATCCGGCACACCGGCTCCGGCACACCGGGTTCTAGTCCCGGTTGGGGCACCGGATTCTGTCCCGGTTGCCCCTCTTCCAGGCCAGCTCTCTGCTGTGGCCAGGGAGTGCAGTGGAGGATGGCTCAAGTGCTTGGGCCCTGCACCCCATGGGAGACCAGGAGAAGCACCTGGCTCCTGCCTTCGGATCAGTGCGGTGCGCCGGGCGCAGCACGCAGGCCACGGCAGCCATTGGAGGGTGAACCAACGGCAAAGGAAGATCTTTCTCTCTGTCTCTCTCTCTCACTGTCCACTCTGCCTGTCAAAATAAATAAATAAATAAATAAAATAAAGTGTATGTATTATGAGACAACCTCAGTCACCCTGGGCAAAGTTCACTCTGAGATGACGGAAAAGAAAATGAACACTCAGTGCACGCCCGTGTGCCCAGCACCAGGTCACATGCACAAGCAGGGTTTAGTCATCCTGACAAGCCCACAAGGCCAGGGCCATTGTCCTCACCTCACAGGAGTTCAGAGCCGTGCCCAGGTTTCTGCAGGTGCGACCTGCCTTTGAACCCTGCCGCCACCGCCCCGGCTCACGTCTTACTTTCACGGGGAGGGGGAACCTCCGGCTCTGGGTCTCTGGGCCTGCCCACTCCCACGCAAGCTCCCGCAGCTCGCGCGCACACGAAGCTTGAGCACCGCGCCCGACTTCTTCGACACACACGCCACGCGTCTCTTACCTCCTCTGACTCGGGCAGAAGCTTAAGGAACTCTCGCAGCGTCTCTGAGCCGTAGTGCTCGCTCTTTCCTTGATGGATGTCTTGCACGATGGACCGGGGAGACCTGGGAGAGAGACTTGGTCACGTCCCCTCCTGCGCTGTGCCAAAGACCCAAGCCCATGGAGACTGGACAATCCTCCTCCACCCTTTCCACCTGGCCTTCTTCCCCACGGATGGGCGCTTGGTGGCAACGCTCAAAACACCCCTGTCGGAGGAAATGGGGACCCTGCCCCCCGACGCCCAGCCTCGGGCATCCCAGAGAGGCTCGGAGTCACCACCGGGAGTCTTCTGGGGGGCAAGAGAGGCGACCCCCTTTGGGGTCCGGAGTCCTCACAGAGCCGCCCCCTCCTCCTCCGTGTAAATCCAGCCTCCAAGGGTCGCAGCAACCACCGGTCCCTGAAGGGGCGTCCCTGAGGAGGAACCCCTAAGTCCCTCCAGGCTGATTTCTCCCTGTGGGGGCCAAACCACTAGATGATGTTTCTATGGGGGAGAACAGTAGGAAGTGACAGACACCAGCCAGTGCACTTGGGACCAACTGGGACTCCTAGGAGAATCGGGATGTCAGCTGGCTTGTGCCTACAGACAGCATGGGGGTGACTAAGGTTTCAGGTATGCGGGAAAAATCTTACTTCTTAAATTGCTTAAGGAATATTCCAATGTTCATGCTCCGCTTTGCATCCAAGAGGGTAATCTGGGGGAAAAGAACCAGTCACATCAAGATTGTTAAAGTGTAAGTAAAAATAGAGAAGTAAGCCCCATCAGAGCACAATACTAATTTTTTTTTTATTTGATAGGTAGAATTATAGACAGTGACAGAGAGACAGAGAGAAAGGTCTTCCTTCCATTGGTTCACCCCCGAAATGGCTGCTACGGCCAGTGCTGCATCAATCCGAAGCCAGGAGCCAGGTGCTTCCTCCTGGTCTCCCATGCAGGTGCAGGGCCCAAGCACTTGGGCCATCTTCCACTGCCTTCCCGGGCCACAGCAAAGAGCTGGACTGGAAGAGAAGCAAATGGGACCAGAACCAGCACCCATATGGGATGCCAGCGCCACAGGCGGAGGATTAACCTAGTGCACCACGGTGCCAGCCCCAGTAGTATGCAATTTTTAAAAAAGTCTTATTTAGTTATTTGAAAGGCAGAGAGACAGAGAGAGAAGGAGAGAGATCTTCCATCTGCTGGTTCTCTCCTCCAATGCCTGTAACAGCCGGGACTGGGCCAGGCTGAGACCAGGAGCCAAGAGATCCATTCGTGTCTCCCCCGTGGGCAGCAGGAGCACAAGTACTTAGAAGGTCACCTGCTGCTTCCAGAAACATCAGCAGGAAGCTGGATAGGAAGTGGAGGTGGGGCTTGATCCCAGGCACTCCAAGGAGATGCGGGCCTCCCAAGTGGCGCCCTCACCTGCTGTGCCACATGCCTGCCTTGGCCTCAGTGTTATGCAATTGTAAAGATATATTTTAAAAGTCTGTTATTCTCATCTACTTGAAGGCACGCACGAGAGAGAGAGAAAGAGAGAGAAGAGGAGAGAAACGCATCTTCTGATCCATTGGTTCACTCCCCAAATGCCCCAACAGCCAGGGCTGGGGCAGGCCAAAGTCAGGAGTTCAGAATTCCCTCGGTGACTCCCACATGGGTGACAGAGGCCCAAGCACTCAAGCCATCACCTGCTGCCTCCCAGGGTGCACTGGCAGAGAGCTGGGTGGCAGTGGAGGTGTTGGAACTCTAGCCCATGCAGACGTCCCAAGAGGCAGTTCAACCTGCTATGTCACGATGCCTGCATCTAACTACTGTTTCTATCTAGTGAGTTCATTTTCGAGTCCCAAAGCCCAACTCATGCTTGAAAGCCTCAGTTTGGATACAGATGTGTTGGTATAGCACAGATCATACCAGGTTTGAACTCAGAAAGTTAAAAAAAAAAATCAGATGGGAGTCCTGACCCTGATTAACAGATGTAAGAGACAAATGCTGCTTTCAGAAACATCAGAAAATTCTCCCTTTTTCCTCAAAGCAAGATTTCTCTTTACTGAAAAAGACTATGTGTCCCATAGCCCATTTAAGGAGGAGGTGAGACGTGTCCTCCATTGTACTCAGAGCAGTGAATATATTTCACCGAGTCCAAGATGCATTTTCCCCCCTGTACCTCAACATCTCTGGAATCAGAATATGTCTCACAATAAGAACAACCTGATTGAACGAAATATGGCATAGCTCATCTAATATACCACCAAAACCCACATTTTGCCTTTGGCTGTCAAAATGAAGAATTTGGGAGGGTTTCTAAAATAATCAGACTAGATGTGAGAAGTTCTTCTTATGTGGTTGTTAGATACAGAAGCCATTCCCATCTGTGGAAGTAGACACCCAGGAAGAGTGGAGAAAGAGAATTTTGTAACTGCTGGGATTTTTTCCATTTGTTTCTTCAGCAGAGGAGGGTTAGTGAGAACAGGAGTGTTGTCCAAACATATGGGATTCACGGTGAACGAAAGACAACCAGGTTCCAGACGAATTCCTGCTCTCGGGTCGGCTGCTCAGCCAAGTGGCAGCAGCGTTGATGTCACTGGCTATAAGGTGAAAAGGCTAAAATATGATGAGCGTGTGGCTGCCCTCTTTAGCAGACTCATCTTGAAGAATTACATGACTTACTAACCTAGGTGTGCTTTTCCTGTTAACACAATCATCTGCCAGCCATAAAATGAACTTCCAAAGAAACAGGGCAGACTCTTTATCGGAGTTCCCGGGAACCGTAGCTCAAGTTCAGCATTAAAGGAGGGGAGAAAGAAAGCGGGAGAATAAAGCTCACCAAGCTTAACACCCTTGAAACAGGGGAAGCTCATACCACAGACAGGAATCTCAAATTCATTAGGGCAGAAAACTACAGTCTGGTTACACTGTGTAAATCAGAACGCCACAAGTCAGAACAAAGTTCTGTAACTTCGCTGTTTCCCTCTGTTGAGAATGGGGAAATAACTTGTTTTATATTCCCCACACTATGCTGCCACCTCCTGCTATATTTAACCTTTGACTGGAACATCCTCCCAGCTCCCACATGCTTCAAAGCCCCACCCTCGTCCTGCTCACCCCTGGGCTCTCTGGGGCTCTGCACACTTGGCTGAGATCCGCAGCTCTTGTTCCTGGAAAAGTGATTCTTATTATCCCTAGCTGACAGACAAGGAAACTGAGCCTCAGAGATGTCATCTCATCATTTCCCCAAAGCAGTACAGGAACGCGAATTGCCTGCCAGGGCCCCCTGCTCCCTTTTCACTCCAGTTCCTGTGTGTTTGAGTAGGGGTGGGAGAAGTGGCAAAGGACCGCCCAGCAGCCAGGGCTGCACAGCTGCACAGCCGGCGGTTTCACCCAGGAATGGGCGGATTGGCTTCGTCCCCCAGGTGGCCCCAGGGTTGGATCTGTGGACTGACAGCTAGAATCACATGGTCACAGGTATGACAACCTGCAGGAGAAGGAGCTCTGGCCCCCCAGGCATAGACCCCAGCCTGCAGCAAGCTGGAAGCATTTAAGAGAATCCAGGATGCTCTCAGGTAGAACCTGGGCTGGCCATGACTGAGAATCTCATGGGAGAACATGAAGCCAGCCCGTGTCAGACATCTGCCACCCTGCTAGGACTGTGCACCTGCAGACTGGCTGGGCGCATGTGGAGTTTTCTTTCTCATATGTTACAGTGCTTCATCCTTCGAGAGCAAAGAGACAGGAGTGCTGGTGACAAAGTTCTCTCAAGGGGGTTATCACTGCACGCGTAAGTGAGCTTATCTCCCTTCCCAAATGCTGGCCGTCTCCAAGCGGGGGCCATTCACAGAAGAGTCCCCGTGGGATGTGGTGCTGATCACTCACAGCGGTGGAATCTGCCCAAGGGATCCCAGGAGACTCGCTGGCTGTGCAAGCTGAGAAGTCAGATGGGACCAGTGGCTCAGAGCACAGGGATGCCCCAGCCTGACCAGTGCCTGAGCTGCACGTGCTGCCCCTCCCAGCAGCTCCAGACCACCTGCACGCTGCTCTTCTGGACTCACTGCGCCACGCAGGCAGGTCTGCCACTGAAGCCAGTGCCTGCAACAGCAGGTGCGGTGGATACACTCCAGAGCTCGCTAGCTCTCCCCTGAACCGGGCTACGGCCAGAGAGGGAGCAGAGGGAAAGGCACTGAACTCGCAGTTCAAGGATTTCCTGCTGGGATGGGAGGGGCCCTGGCTACCAGCCCCGCCATGGATGCCAGGGGGTACCGGACGCAGCAGTGCTGTGCTACTCCGGGGCTGTATGATCCCCATCTTGCTACCAACTCCAAGTAAGCTCTCCCAGCTTCTCCTGCTGTGATTCCTGCAGTTTCAGCTAGCATCTACCCACCACAAAACCTGCCTCCCATTCGCTTCAGAGGAAGGAGAGACTTTTCTTTCAGTTGTGGAAAAATACAACTGACATTTACCATTGCAGTCCTTTTTCAGTGTACACATTCACACAGCTGTGCAACCGCCACCACCATCCACTCCACAGCCCACCTCATCCTGTGAAACTGAAACCCTGGGCCCCTTCCCCACCTCTCCCCAGCCCCTGGAAGCAGCCTGCGACCTGTCTGTGACTCCAGCTACTCCAGGGACCCCATGCCACTGCAATTATATGGGACTTGTCTTTCTGAGATGGGCTTATCTCCCATGCCTCATGTCCTCAAGGTAGAAGAAGAAACGTTCGTGACACTTTCATTTCCACAGGTGCACAGGGCCTCCAGACTTCCTAAGCTCACCCTTGACAGTGGCTCTTTCAATCCCACCGCAAATTCTAGAAAGCACAATTGTAGAGATCCTCCTCCATCCTCCCAGGTGGATTCAGCTTTTGGGTTCTGATCACTTGTTCTTCACTGCCTTTCTCGTTGTCGTTGGTTGTCAGCAGCAAGTTGTTCCTCTCTCAACTCACCCGGGACAGCAGGGATGGGGGCAGTGTGGAGGATCGAAACCAAGCACGTTTTTTTTTCCCTAAATACTCTAATTCTATAGTTCTGGAATGTCTGAATGCCCCAGAGTTCTAGAACATACTGGAATGGGAACAAAAGTTGAGAAAGAATGACCAGTATCTGAATCACAGTGTAGGACGATAAAGCATGACTTCCTGTGGGTTTAGTAAAACCAACCTCTCCTCTATCCTTCCTTCCTCTCTCTCTCTCTCCTGTAACTCTTTCTCTAATTGGTATCTTAGGGACTTCCTTTATGGCCAATATAATATTGCTATAGACATCGCTGTAAATGACTTTCAGCATTTCTCAACATCTGCATTTTCTTTGTGAATGCCAATTCTGACTTTTCAGTATCCTGTGAGACTGTCCTTTCTTCCTTTGGTCCCTGCATCCAGTTCTATCCAGTTCAGTGACCTTTGATTTCCTCTGGAGGACACCAGATGGCTAAGACATATCCCTGCCCTTAAGAGCTGGTCCGATCGTAGGAGGCGTCACGAGCAGGAGGTCTGGATGGACAGGGAGCTGCAGGAGCTCTCAGGGCACGAGATCTGAAATCTGAAAGCAAACTCTGAAAAGAAGGTGAGTCTGAGCTGGCTCCTATCATTATTCTCAGTGGTGGATCACTGTTATCTCTAATTATTCTATTGCAGCTTAATTACTGTTGTCCTGGGGCTGCCACTGTGGCACAGCGGGTTAAGCCACTGCCTGCATTCCACACTGGAGCACCAGTCCAAGTCCGCACTGCTCCATTTCCAAGCCAGCTCCCTGCTAATGCACCTGAAAGCAGTAGAAGATGGCCCAAGTCCTAGGGCCCCTGTGCCCACATGGGAGCCCCAGATGGAGTTCCAGGTCCAGCCCTAGCCCTGGTGGCCATCTGGGGAGTGACCAGTAGATGGAAGATCTCTATCTCTGTCTCTCCCTCTATTACTCTTTCAAGTAAATAAATCTTTAAAAAAAACATAATTACTATTGTCCCATCACACCTATAGTCTCTAATATTTAGGTAGCAAAGATACAAGGATAGCAATATTTCATAACCTTTCCCCCCTTATTAAATGCTCTAATTAATATTCTCAATGTTATCCTAAGTTCAGCCATTCTCATACTCGAACCCTTGCCATCGTCCAGCAAATCCTTCCTTGGGAATTTAGTGGCACTTACTCGTAACAGGCTACGCTGTTTCAGGAGCACACACGCTGGTCCCTGGCAGGTGTGGGCCTCCAGGATCACAGCGTGTGCCAAGGCCATGCGTCCAGGCTCAGGGTCGGTGCCTCCACTGGTGGCACCGCGCAGGGTATTCTGCAGGCCAGCTGGGTAGGTGGGGAGGACTATTACTTTTGACCCTGGACTTCAGAGTTGGAAGATTTATTACTGATCTTTGTCAGGCTAGAACTCTGCTGAGTTAGAACTTCTTCAAAAGAAAGTCTAACGCTGGAAGAAAACAGCATGTACCACGTTCTCTTACTGAAAAAGACTGTGCCTAGTGCTTCTAGCCAAGTGGGAGACAACATGACAAAACTGCTAAGAATTCTAGATCACCTCTCTTACGCGACATCACTATCTCACATGCATTTCAATGGATCAGCTTAAACTATTCATTATATCTGAGTACGGAAAACTTAGACTATCTTATGATGTGCAGTTGAAGTGAATCAGTTTTTCTTCCTACCATGCTGTCTCTCAGATTGGGACACATAAGGGTTAAAAGTAAAGACCCTGGCGCTGGCGTTCAGCCTAGTAGTTGAGATTCCTGTGTCTGCCATTGGAGAAGCTGGGTTCAATAGCAACCTCCGGCTGCTGTCTCCAGCTTCCTGCTCAAGCAACCCTGAGAGGCAGCACTGGTCGCGCAAGTACTTGGGTTCTGCCACCCGCATGCTGACCTGGATTGAGTTCCTGACTCCTCCCAGCTTTGGCCCCTGGCCCAGGATCTCTGCAGGCGTTTGGGGAGTCAACCAGGCACATGGGAGTTGTCTGTCTGTCTCTCTGTCATTCTGTTTCTCTGCATCTCAAAAACAATATCAGGGCCAGCACTGTGACCCAGCAGGTTGAGCCACTGCTTAAGACACTGGCATCCCAGTTCTGGCTGCTCCTCTGCCCATCCAGCTCTCTGCTATGGCCTGGGAAAGCAGTGGAAGATGGCCCTAGTCCTTAGGCTCCCACCACCTAAGCAGGAGACCCACATGGAGTTCCTGGCTCCTGCCTTTGGCCTGGCTCAGCCCGGGGCCATTGTAGCCATCTGGAGAGTAAACCAGTGGATAGGAGATCTATTTCCCTCTGTCTCTCCCTCTCTCTCTGAGACACCCTGCCTTTCCAATAAAGAAAATAACCTTTAAAAAAATGTATTTAACATCAAAACATCACATTATGTCCCAGTAGTGTGAATAATTATGTGTGAATCAAAAATACAATTAAAAAATAAAATTTTGAAAATGCAAAGATCTTTGTAACACTCATGGTCACATCGGTATTATGACACTAGCCAAAAAAAAGTGGAAGCAACTCCAGTGTCCCTGAACAGATGACTGAATAAAATGTGATACAGACAAATAGGGAAATGTCACTCAACCTTAAAATCCTAACACATTTACAACTTGGGTGAGCCCTGAAGACATCATGCGAAGTGAAATAAGTCACCCACAAAAGCTCAGGCTCCTATGGTTCCCTTATGAAAGGCGCCCAGCAGAGTCAGTCTTGCAGACACAGGCAGCAGATGGTTGCTTGCCAGAGACTGGGGGGAGAGGAGCAGGGAAGTTAACGTCGATGAGTTTCAGCTCTGAGATAAAACTGCTGGCTACACAGCCATGCGCCCGTGCTTAAAGCAACTGATCTGCATGGGTTTGCGAAAAAGCCGTTAGTTTTATTTTACATGCATTTTACCAAAATTAAAAATATCTTAACTATTAAAAAATAATTCCTTAAAAAAAAAAAGACGACGACGTCACAGGGCCTGCATTGTAGCACAGTGGGCTAAGCCACTGCCTGCCACGCCGGGTCCCACAATGAAGTACGAGTCCCAGCTGCTCAGGCTGCTCCACGCTCCTGTTAAGACGCCTGGACAAGCAGCAGCAGAGGACCCACGTGCTTGGGCTGACCCACGTGGGAGACCCTGATGGAGTTTCAGGCTCCTGGCTTCAGCCTAGCCCAGCCCCAAATGTCACTGTCATCTGGGGTGTGAACCAGCAGATGGAAAATCTCTTTCTCTCTGCCTCTGCCTCTCGGTCACTCTGCCTTTCAAATAAATAAATCTTTTTTTAAAAGTTAAAGGAGAAAAAAAAAGCAAAACTAATGTTCCGGCCTGGAAATGGGTGTTTCCGTTTCTGCCATAGCCAGGGAAACACGCCACACTCAGGGCCACTTTCCTCCCTTGCGGGATGGTTCTGAAGCTTTTTTTTTTTTTTTTTTTTTTTTTTTTTTTTTTTTTGACAGGCAGAGTTAGGCAGTGAGAGAGAGACAGACAGACAGAAAGGTCTTCCTTCCGTTGGTTCACCCCGCAAAGGGCCGCTATGACCGGAGCACTGCACCAATCCGGAGCCAGGTGCCTCCTCTCCTATGCGGGTGCAGGGCCCAAGCACTTGGGCCATCCTCCACTGCCTTCCCGGGCCACAACAGAGAGCTGGACTGGAAGAGGAGCAACTGGGACAGAATCCGGTGCCCCAACCGGGACTAGAATCTGGGGTGCCGGCGCCAGGAGGATTAGCCAAGTGAGCCACGGTGCCGGCCCTGAAGCTCTCTTTAAGGACAGAAAGTAGAATTTCCCTGTGGGCCCACGGGGCCACCTGCTCTGACCTGCCAGTGGCCGTTAGGGAGACAGCCCCTCCATAATAGGGCTCCCAGACACACATCTGCCTCACACGCGTCCACCTGCTCACTACTCCAGCACTCTTGCACTTCAAGACAGCTGGGGACGGTGAGAAATGGTCCACTGTTCCCGGGAGACCGCTGCCAGATGCCAGGGCAAGGGCCGAGGTGCTAAGGAGATGGCTTTCCAGGAAAGGAGGAGAAAGGATGGGCTGTGTAGGGGCCCCAAGGGCTTCTCGGTTTACATGGGAACAGTCCTAACACCTGTGTTCTGTGCGTCTCACCGTCAGCCAGCTCCTGGCTCCTTTACCAGGGGATCACGCAATCAACCTTAAGGGCCCGCAAGTGGGCCGGTGGTGAGACGGAGCGAATATGAGGAGGGAAGATGGTTCAAGAATTCCACAACCCGCTGCGCCCGATTCCTCAGCCCAGGGCCCCGCCCACTCTCTTATCTCGTCACCGCCATCTGTGACCCATTTTCTCTGCTCACTCACGACAGATTTAAAAATGAAGGATGCATGTTCTCTTCCTATCTGTCTACCTTCCCTTCCTTCCTTGACAGCGTTCCTTGCTTTTGATCTCTGATTTCCTGCTTAGGGCTCCTAGTTTCTCAACTGACTGTGCGTACTTGCAAAGGCACTTTTTGATGGGGTCTCTGTAATCCAGGTGGCTCTGGGGTTATCTTTCAGTTCCCTTCTGAGAGTTTAACAGCTTGATTTTCTCTGAGTGACACAGTTAGTGGTAAGCAGAAACATGCTTCCTACAGGCTTATCTGCAAACAGCTTTCTGCTCTGGCTCTCAAAATTTCTGCTCTACACGGCCATGACTTAGCTCAGAGATCTGAGGAAGGAAGGCTGTCTCGAGACGTTTGTCAAAAGGACAATAAGGGTAAATATATATTAGCTGGTCGTGTGATTTAACAGGAGGCTTTCCGTCCCTGACAGCTGCAGCTTGTCCCAGGATCGGAGTTCAGGAACTTGGTTTTTGTTCCAGTGGAGACCAGCAACACTGGACTACAGCAGAACTTCTGTGCCAGGGGAAGAGGCAGCAAATGTGCCAGAGACAGAGCAGTGCTGAGAGGCCAGAGGCAAGGGTGCTGCATGGAGGCATAAGCCCTGGGACTTCGGGGCAGACCCGCCTGCACACTTCTCCCTCTCTGCCTCTCAGCTCAAGCTCATCACAGGAGGCCCTGGCTCTCATCTCCAGCGCATGCTCACCTGCATTCTCTCTCTCTCTCCTTAACATGAAACAAGGGGGCCGGCACTGTGGCAGGCAGAGTAGGTTAAGCCTCTGCTTACAGCAGTGGCATTCCATAGGGCCGCCAGTTCGAGTCCCGGCTGCTCCACTTCCCATCCAGCTCTCTGCTAATGCGCCTGGGAAAGCAGTGGAAGATGGCCCAAGTGCTTGGGCCCCCTGTGCCTGTACTGGAGACCCGGAAGAAACTCCTAGCTTCAGATCGGCCCAGCTCTGGCCATTGCAACCATCTGGGGAGTGAACCAGCAGATGGACAGACCTTTCTCTCTGTCTCTCCCTCTGTCTGTGACTGTGCCTCTCAAATCAATAAACAAATCTTTAAAAGAAAGAAAAAACATGAAACAAGGCAGGACGCACAGCAGTGCACCTGCCAGGCCATGCTCACCTCCTCGCGGGCCTCCCTGAAGGATGACGTCACAGTGCCCCCTCGTCTGGGGAGGGTCGGCTTGGCCGTGTCTTCTTGCTGCCCGAAGAGCTCCTCGATGGTCTTGGTATCGATCTGGTAGTGATGCTGCTGGCTGGCCGCCAATGTCCAGATGTTGGTTTTGCCACGAACTTGCTCCTCCGGAATGGTTTTCCAAAAAAAGCTTCTCATCCGCTTTTTCTTACCCACTTGGCTATAGCCATTGATGTGAGGAGCTGGGGGTAGTCCTGGAGGGGGAGGCGGGGCAGGAGGCCCCCCAGGCAGTGGAGGCGGTGGGGGAGGCGGCGGGGAGGGAAGAAACCCTTGCCCCGAAAATGGACATGGTGGAGGAGGAGGGGGTGGAGGAGGAGGAGCTGGCGGGGGCGTCTGCTCAATCATGAATCCAGCTGCCGTGGCAGGATTCCCATTTTCTTTATCACTGGCCAAGGAGACACAATTCATAACATGCATAGTACTGTTGCCTTCTAAGGAGATAACTGCTTGACCGCGGGGAAGCACACACAAGCCATCCAACTCGGGTCACAGCTTCTCGCCGGCGCATCAGCTGCCCTAGGGAAAGGCCAGCACGCCGCCTGTCAGCTGCCGAACCTGCCGGGATACAACGGGTTTCAGATCAGTGCAGACAAAGCCTTTCACCCCAGCTCTTCTCTCCAGAGGCCAGGCTCTGTCCTCCCGGAAGTCAACCCTTGGGGGGTGGGAGTGGGGGGGGTACAACACATCCTACGGTGCATTAAAAGGTACGACCACTTCTACGACCGCGAGCCACGTCTTCCCACCCGAAACACTGCCAGAGCAGCAGAGCCCGTGTGGACGCCTCCCAGCAGTCAAGAAAGCACCCACTTCCCGAGAGCCGGCTCCAGGTTCCGCAAGCATTACTCCCTTGATGAACGAGCTCCCTGCTCACTACCTAGTTCTCTCTCTTTGGGCACTGCATGCCCGGCTCCTAGGGAATCTGCCCAAATTGCTGAAGCAGTAGGCGTCCGTGATCCTGCCTTCTTCCAGTTCGGACACATCTCCCACCGACCAGTGGGTCAGAGGCATCTTCCCCCTAGCACAGGGCAGGCAGGGCATCTGGAGATGACAAAATCACTGCCTCGCTCATTTTCCTGGAATCAGGGCCACCAAGTTCCTGCTGCACTTGGTGATGTGCCTTCCCCCCCAGCAGACAGGGAAGGGAACGGCAGTTGTGAGGATTCCGGGTTCCTGCCACTGACAAGCTCAGACGCGCTGTTCTGCTCACTGGATTCTCCCAAGGGGAATACTTTTACTGGCCTCTGTCACCCCTTCCGACGCTGTCATCCTGGATTCTAATTAAGTCATGGTTTGGAAACCATCAGAATTTCTTAGCCACCTCTTCTGTGGCAGTATTAGCAAAGAAGAGATACCCACAAGGCCCATATCACGTCTGCCACATGTCTCTCCCTTATCTACACGGCCACCGACTTATTTTGGTGACTTGTACATTTCTGGGCCTGTAATGTTTGCTTTCGGTGTTGGGATGTTGCTGACCTGACATGAAAACAGGTCGGATATGAGGGCAGGTGAGCGAGGGGGTGTGGAGGAGGGACCCTGGGGAGGGTATCGAGTGAGCACCCCTCCTTGAGGTGGGAGCGGGCAAAGGGAGCAGTGACCTCCAGCTCTCAAGGGGCCGTTTGGAGGAGCTCCACGCTCTGGATTTCTGGGTGCAAGGATCCTTCCATGGGGTCAGGGCCCAGCCCATACACACACACAAGCCAGTCAAACCACCCTGCATTATCCAAGAGTCAGCCATCAGCCATCACCATTTCCAAACATGCTGAAGTGTTTTACACAGAGCCGCACATAAAAGGCAAGACTCCCTTACAAACAAGTGGAGATTCTAAAACAGACAGTTTCTTCTCAGAATCCAGTGTGGCTACCTCTTCGATACATAACTTGATCTGGGGGAGGTCATGTAACCTGTGTTTCAGCACCCTCACCTACGATCTGACGATATACCTGCTTAATTGGTTTGCGTAAGAACAAATGAGCTAACACACGCACAGTCCTTACCAAAATGCCAGGTACAGAGGCAGCCATCAGTGACAACAGCACACTGGGATCACAGGACCATATACTTTCCCTGTAGTCGCCCAGGAGTTACATCTGCCTGAATGTATGCATTGGCTTTATACATAAAATGCCAAGCTACTCCTGGCTGCTAGGAATATACTTTTAATATTTCTATTGTCTGCTCTCAAAGTTAGGTTTGCCCTTTTCCAATGCTCAGTGATTACGTATATTTCTATATAAGATTATCTGTAAATCATAAGAAACTTTGACTCCTGAAAATTGCCTGCATACAGGCAGAAGATGGCATTTCCAACTGTCAACTGCACACTCTTTTTTTTTTTCCAGTTAAACCACTTTCAAGGTACAATTTAGTTGCAGGAGGCACATTCACAGTGCTATGCAGCTATCACCGTGGGATAACTTTTACGTAAGTAAAATCGAAAATATTTATCCACACTGAGTTACAGTTTGCTTGAGATGGAACTGGCGTTTAGAAGTTTTCACAATTATCATTAGGGGCATAACTAGGCTGTTTTCACAGTTGGCATCCCTAGAGCAAATGACTCACTGTCAATTATAGTTTATAGTTATATTTGAACTTTTTTTTCAAGACTGCACAGGTAATTTTGGCAGTAGATTCTTACAGATTTTAAAATACTTCTGAACACCTCAAGTACAGAAGAGCTGCTAATCCCCCATTCATCTCCGACTCCAGATAGCTGACAAGTTTACAGATTATCCCTTTTAAGAACGCTGATAAGCTGAAGTCTCCAACCTAGAAAGCAGCAGCTCACTTCGTGCTGCCCAAGTGTAGGTACCACCGTGCCACTAGACCTCGTAAAGCAAACGGAGAGGTGCCAATAAAGAGAATGACCACACCCTCCGAGGCTGCGCTACCTGCTCACGCCAAAGGACAGCGGTGTGCACAGAGGCGGCGGGACCAGATAAAAGCTTGTCAAAGTTAAAAGGGACGTGTGGCAGTCAGGCACTGACTGGCATGATTCTCGCTGCTGCCTCAGCTTGAGAAAGGATGTCCTCTTCCAAAGTGAAAGGGACCAAAGAAAAATGGACAGCATTATCCCTGCTATGCCATCTGGTTCATTTTTCCCCCAGGGTAACACACAAGGGTGTGAGCCCCCAACTGCTTCCCATGCATCAGATTGTCAGCAATGATTAGCCACGAGACAGAGGATACCCAAAGAACATTCCATGCACTACAGCGCCAGTCCACAGCCAAAGTGCGCTGGGAGAACCCAGCGGATGGCTTGCAGCAGGCAGCAGGGACCATGGAACACGCCCCAGCTCCGTGTGAGAATTGACAGGTGTCCCATCAATCTCCCCTATGGACGGGCTTGGAATCCACATCTCTGCCACGGAGGCCGACAACCACCAGAGCCCGGAGCAAACCACAGAGCTGTCACGTGCTAACCATGACCCATCAGAGGTGTGCTTGAGTGACAGCCCCTCCACGGAGGGCCTCCTAAGCCCTGAAAGTTCACGGACTTAAGTGGCAGGGGCCACATCTTTGGAGGCTGGAGACCAGCTCCTGAGCGTCTTCAAAGAAGGCCCCTGCCCCCCTCCTAGGCCCTCTGGCCTAAAGAGCCCACAGTACTTGCAACATCCCTGAAATTCCATTCTCTTGAAGACGGTGGCTCAGGAGATACACACACATACACAAAAGAAACGAGGCCGGCTTCCTCCAACTGCGTGTTTAAGGAGAAAACGCGCTCCTGAAACGCAGTTAAGGGCTCAGTGGGGTCTTGAGGCCCAGCTGGTCGCTCACCCCCTCGGCCAACAATAATTAGAAGGCACACCAAGCAAAACCGACCAGAAGGTCTTGCCCCGGGGGCTCCTGCCGTGGGTCCCATTCGAAGTCCGGACAGGGCAGGCCGGGTTTGGAGAGAGGACAGGCAGAGAGAGCAACAACCGGGAAGAACAGGGTGGAGGAAGTTCAGGCAATCTTCAAACAGGGAGTTTCTGGCTCTACCGGCAAGATCAGAAAGTCAACCAGCACAGCTGCAGGTCACCCAGCAAATCTTCGCCACGGCAAGCGAGGCTCGTTCGGAACGCACGCATTCCGTTCCTCTGCGTCCAAAAATCGAGGTGCGGACGCGCCCCGGAGCCAAAGGATGCTGCTCTCTGGGGGGAGGGCAGGGAACGCAGCCGCCCTGCCAGGACAGGCAGCGGGGCCTGCGGGCGGCCGAGCGCTGGCGGCAGTTTCCCCGCGAACAGCTGCTAGAAACCGGCCCGCCGGGGCCGAGGAAGTCGGTGCGGGGTACGGTGCAGGGCACGGCTGCTTTAGCGTCAGTCCGAGACACGCAGGCGTTCCCTAAGTCTTGGCTTTGGCGAGCGGCCCGCCGCCTCCCTCCGTCCCCAGCCCACTCACCGCCACGCCGCGGGCTCGGCCACCACCCCGGCTGCGCTCGCCGCGATCCCGGGGCGCCGGAGGACGCGCGGGCGACGAGAGGGCGGCCCCGCCGGGTGCTGATCGGTGCGCGGCGGAGAGGGACACCCACGCGCGCCGCGCCGCACTGGCTGAGCCCGCACAGCCTGCCCCGGCAGCCGACGCCCGGGGAGGACTGGACCCTCCGCCTCCCGGGAGCCCCGGGCGTCCTCCCTTCCTCCGGCAGATGCGACCCGAGCGGCAGCCACGCCGGCTCGGCCAACCCCTTCCCGGGGCTCCTCGGGTCGGGGCGGGCCGTGGAGAGGGGGGAGGGGGTCGTGGGCCCCGCCCCTCGCCCCGCGGAGCTCCCAGCTTTGGAGCCCGCATCGCCCGCCCTTGCCACGCCGGCCCTGGGTGCCCGCCCCTCTGCGGAGGTGCGGCTCACAGCTCCCAGACGGGTGCGCGCGGGGGTGGGGTGGGGGGCACCTCGGGGAGGTGTCCCTGAGCCCGAAGCCAAAGCGGGGGGAGTCTCCGGGTTCGGGGATGCGGGGTCGCGCGCAGCTACGCCCCCTCCTCGAGCGTCGGCGGCGACGCCTCCCGGGGCTCCGGTGCGGGCAGCGGGCGCGGGACTGAAAGCCTTGGCGACGCACTGCGGCTGCTTAACCAAAAAGTAGCCAGGACGAACCGGCGGGAAAAGCACACACGATACTCCGGGCGTCTGCAACGGGCGGTCGGAGTTTTAAAAGGAGGGAGTCGCTGTCCAAGAGCTGGGGATCCCGCCGTGTCCGGGGGGCGACCCGCCTTCTCCCCTCACTGCTGCCGGCGCGGGGCGCAACTACTACCCTGAACTTGGCGCGGCCGGAGCGGGAGCCGCCGGGTCCTCGGTCAGCATCGCCGGACTCGGTGCCCGCGCACCCCGCACCCACCGTCACAGGGGCTGGGGTCCCGGCCCCCCGACCGTGCGTCCTATGCGGGGCTCCTCACCGATCGGCCCGAGTAAATAGGGGACGGTGGGTCTAAAAGTGTCGTCCGAAGCTGATTCCGGCCACCCAGGTCCCGACCTCTGGACGCGGGTCCGGCCCGGCGAGTCTTACGCGGTCGCGTATGGGAGCTCGAACCTCCTCCCCCAGCCTCCCCAGCGGAGCTCCAAGATTGTCGACCACCGGCACCCCTCGGCCGCTCTTCCCCCGAGACCCATCCTGGGCCGCGCGACCCACACTCACCCTAGGTGCGGACCCCTGCAATCTCCAGCCACCGTCTCACAGCACCGCCGCCGCCTCCTCCCGGCCCACTGCAGGCCCCGCCGCCTAGGACCGCGAGGGGGCAGGGCGGCGCGGCGGGGCGGAGCCGCTGCCTCAGGTAACAATGCTGCGGCCCAGGCTGCGCCCCGCGCGCGCCGCAGAGGGCAGCACGCCCTTTCCTGCCCGGCCCCCGCTCCCCCTCCCCGGGCCTCCCTGCGCGCGCCTGCACCTGCGCGGGGGGACCTGGCACGCTGCTCCAGGCCCCCGAAGACCAGCACAGGGTGGGCGCGGGGGCCCCCGAGGGAAGTTGGGCTGCGGGGAAACGGAGACGGCCGGGCTGCGAAGCAGAGCCAGGTGTCCTCTGGGAGGGGCCGGGCTGGCTTCGGAACCGGCCGGCGTCCGCCACAAAAGAGCCGCCTCAGCGGTCCCTGCTCCCCGCGCGCGGGTGCGCGCGCGCGCGCGGACACACACACACACACCCCTCTGCACGCGCGCCCGGCCACCGTCGGGCCCGCACCTGCGTCTCCCCGGGGCCTTGGGCAGCGCTGGCGCCCGCTGTCCCCAGTTCGCCGAGTCCTGGCCAGCGGAGCTCCCCGCAGGACCGGCCAGCTTGTCAGTGGGCTGCCTGTTCTTTTGCGCACGGTTCGGTTCCGTGACCGGAACAGGAGCATTGCAGGGCTTGATGCATGGAATACACGGGCTGTTGGGGGCGGGAGGGGGCTCCTCACACTCGCAGGAGGCGACAGGGGAGGCGGGGTGACCGCAACTCTCCCCGAAACTCCTCGCGTCCCCGGGCGGCGCGGAGTCGCCTGGTCACGGGCAAACGGCTCCCGAGCACACTGGCCGGCGGGCCGCGGGCAGCAGGGGCGGAGAGACGCCCTCGCGGGGATGAAGTCATCGCCACCTTTGCCTCGCTAAGATAACCACTGCGCTTGGCGTTTCCCGCCCGTGGGCCCGAGCACTTCCGCCTCCTCCCCACCCTCGCCCCGGAGCCTCAGCCCCAGAATCCCTGACCTCCACTCGCGGGCCTGCGACGGAAAGGAGAGGAGCTGCGCGCGTCCCGAGGGCAGCAAGCACAAACCGAAAGTTGGCGTCGGGCACCAGCCCAGTTCCTTGGACACCGAGCGTGCAGTGGGTCCGACCAAGCCCGCAGGAACGCGCACGGGGTGGGAAAAAAACGCAGCGGGAGGAAGACAGCTCCACGCTCAGGACTCCACGTTACTGCGAATCCCAAAGGGATACTGAGTGCATAGGCAAGCGTCCCAAGGGAGTCGGCAATGGCATCACCCCCTGTGGCAGACTGGGACCCTGGGCCCTGCATGCTTCCATTTCTGCAGCCCTGCGCCCGCGGGCTCCGGGCCCCCGTCTACACGGAACACACACTCTGATCTCTCTGGGCGGGGTCAAGCCCGGTGACCCATCGTCCGTCGCTGGGGCTTTTGCTGTCCCCTGCAGCATCTTGGCGGGCCGGCTTTCTTTCTGCTTCTCTGCTGACCTTTCTTTTCATTTGAGGACAGCAGCAAGGGTCTTCCCTCTCCTGAGCTCCCATCCTCCCCTGGGGAATTATTGTCTTTTGGCTCCAACCCAGATCTGTCCCGGCTTTGTAGGGCCTGAAGCGCATATAATTTGCACGAGGGAGCTTCTTACGCAGAAACAGTGAAGACGTGCACAGCCCTGGGTGTGCATCCAGGAAGGGGCCGGGGAAGCGAGGGGGATGGAACGTTGCACTTCCCATAAATCTCCTGTTTTCACCTCTGTGTCAGGGGCTCTCCAGTCCATATTGTCCTGTAATAGCTCAGGTCCAAACTAGCACTCTCTCCCTACCTTTACCCAACAGCTGATTTAAAAAAAAAAAATGATTTATTTATTTGGAAGGCGGAGTTACAGAGAAAGAAGGAGAGACAGAGATCTTCCATCTGCTAGTTCAGTCCGCAAATGGTCCCAAGTCAGGCGCTTCATTCGGGTCTCCCACGAGGGTGGCAGGGGCCAAGCACTTGAACCATCTCCGGCTGCTTTCCCAGGCACGTTGGTAGGGAGCTGGATCGGAAGTGGAGCAGCTGGGACTCAAACTGGTGGCCACATGGGATACCAGTGTGGCAGGTGGTCACTCACCCTGTTACATCACAGCACCGGCCCTGTAAAATTTTTTTTTGACAGGCAGAGTTAGTGAGAGAGAGAGAAAGAGGTCTTCCTTTTTCCGTTGGTTCACCCCCCAAAATGGCCACCACGGCCGCTGCGCTGCACCGATACGAAGTCAGGAGCCAGATGCTGCTTCCTGGTCTCCCGTGCGGGTGCAGGGCCCAAGCATTTGGGCTATCCTCTACTGCCCTCCCGGGCCACAGCAGAGAGCTGGACTGGAAGAGGAGCAACCAGGCCAGAATCCAGCGCCCCAACCAGGACTAGAACCCAGGGTGCCAGCGCCACAGGCGAAGGATTAGCCAAGTAAGCCGCGGTGCCGGCCTGATTTTAAAATTTGAAGCCCCATCGAATGTGGTGCTTGACTTTTTTTTTTTTTTTTTTTTTTTTTTTTTTTGGTATTGTAAATATTGAGTGGTCAAAAAGCACACAGCTGGGAAAGACCATCACCCAGGCTGCACTTCCGGAAGGCAGTTTGCCCTTCACCTCCTAACACACCCTCATCTCACCTAAGGTTGGGAGGAAAGAGCTTCAGTGTCCCAAAAATGTGCCTGGAGCACCCCAAAGTCAGCCCAGACACTGGGGTTTGTGGCTCGGAGGTGGCTCGTGAGCTGTGGGTGGTGTGGCCCCCACTCACTTTCCAAGGAGGGTGTGCTAGTAGGCAGTGTGGCCAGGTAAGGCTGTGGCCAGGGGGCAGCAGCAAGCCCCAAGAACAACTCCGCTCTCCTCCAGAGAGCCCCATTTCCTTCATTTTCTTCCCTCTTGCTTCCACCTCCTCAGGCCCCAGCAGCTTTTAACTTTTGTGTTAAGAACTCTGTATCTGAATCTGTCATCAGGAACCAGACAAAGCCTTCATACCCAAAGGAAACCAATTTCAGGATCCGTTCCGCGGACTGCAGTTCTAAAACAGCCTTACTTGCTTAAGGAGTGATCTAACCCAGGACCCGACTTCACGGGCCTCTAGGGACAGACACATTGAAGACGGTCCCCTCTGGCACAGGTTTAAATCTCACCCACAACCTCTATCTCCCCATCCTCCTCTCCCTTCCTTCTCCTCTCCATTTTTCTTTTTGTGATATACACGGAGCTTGACTTAATCTTTATTCTTCTTAAAACATATCTGATGAGATCAGTTGTTCAGTGGCTAGATTATAGGCTGTGTCAGTGCCTCTTTAAATTGGAAACTGGGGAGAAACAAACTCTGCCAACTCTGTAGTTAAACAGACTTGCAGACAAATGCAGAGTCCAGCAACCCGCCTTCCAGAAACAGTCATTTCTGAGAGAACTTGCTTGATGTGGTTTCCTTCTAAGGGTGCAAAGTGTAAAATAAATAAAATCAGCAGAACTGTGACTGTCACCAGGAATGCAAGTCTGCATCAGACAGCCTATTGACAAAATGCCACTGTCATATTGCTATGATTTTCCAAACAACTTTTCAACTGGTAAATTATCTTATTTTTGCAGGCTAAGAAATTTAAATGCTTGAGTTGCTTCTAAATATAGTAAATATGACTCCACTCTGATCATCATGAGGGGGAAGCTTTTCCTTCTGGATATGCAGCAGTGATTTGTGAAAGTTTTAAATAGAAAATGCTTTTCCACCTGCTGTTAGTAAACATGGTCGCGTCAACAGCACCTCCCTTGCCAGAAGTACACCCAGGCACTCGGTCAGTATAGGGCCTGATTTGTTTGAGGGTAGGAGAGAAAAAGACGGCGGCCCTTACCCAACACAAGGAATGAGGTAATAAGACTCCTGATGACCCTTGTCCCCACCTGTCTAGATCTCCTTAGAGCCAACTGTGCATTTCCTCCTGCTCCAGGGGCGTGTGTAAGTGTGCATGCATGTCTGTGGGACAGTGTGTTCTGAAGGCTGGGCATGGAAGAGGAGACCAAGCCAATATATATCACCGAGCTTTTACCCAGGAAACATCCGGTTAGGCCTCTTTTTCGTTCACAATTAAGTGCTTAGACAACTGGCTGGTGTTCATTGCAAACGGAGGGTCTGTTGTAACAT